ATCCATAGCACCCCATCAACATTTACAAGTCCAAGTCCAATGACTTATTTATTCATTTATGTTTTCCACCATATGTGGCTATGAAACCATTTTTGCTGCTTTACCCTGAACTCGTTGCATTTTCGCACTGTCCGGTTGCCATACTTTTCATGTGACCATTTTGACTTTCAGCCTCGCATTCCCTGTATACATTTCATGCCCTTCTGCTTCCCCCTTCCGTCGACTCACTGTGATTCCTTCTCTCGTTCATAGCACTGGTGGTAATTTACCCTCTGCACTACCCGTAAATTCCCACGCGAAGTCATTAATATTTGACGTAGAGATGCCTTTCATTTCTCTCTTCCATCAAACTCCCGCCAGGAATTCTAATTTTCTCATATCAACCTTTCTATTACTTCAGCCTCCACCTCCCTTCCACTTTCCACTCTTTCCATTGCCTTTATCACCGTTGAGTCAAAGGCTGGAGCGTGGTGGTCGGTGACTCCCAAGAGGGCTTTCATGTTATGTTTTTGTGTGTGTGTGTGTGTGTGTGTGTGTGTGTGTGTGTGTGTGTGTGTGTGTGTGTGTGTGTGTGTGTGTGTGTGTGTGTGTGTGTGTGTGTGTGTGTGTGTGTGTGTGTGTGTGTGTGTGTGTGTGTGTGTGTGTGTGTGTGTGTGTGTGTGTGTGTGTGTGTGTGTGTGTGTGTGTGTGTGTGTGTGTGTGTGTGTGTGTGTGTGTGTGTGTGTGTGTGTGTGTGTGTGTGTGTGTGTGTGTGTGTGTGTGTGTGTGTGTGTGTGTGTGTGTGTGTGTGTGTGTGTGTGTGTGTGTGTGTGTGTGTGTGTGTGTGTGTGTGTGTGTGTGTGTGTGTGTGTGTGTGTGTGTGTGGGTGTATTCACCTAGTTGTATTCATTTAGTTGTGCTTGCGGGGGTTGAGCTCTGCTCTTTCGGCCCGCCTCTCAACTGTCAATCAACTGTTACTAATCACCTGTTACTGTCACCTGCTGCGGACACAGCCTGCAGCAGGTGTCTAACTCCCAGGTACCTATTTACTGCTAGGTAACAGGGACATCAGGGTGAAGGAAACTCTGCCCATTTGTTTTGCCGGCGGTGCCGGGGATCAAACCCCGGTCCCTAGGTCCATGAGCTTAAAGCGCTGTCCACTCAGCCCCAAATGCGCACGCCTTTGTACTTATCTATTTTTGCCTGCAGGATCGCGCAATGATTCACGACCTATTTTCCAAACATATCTACTTTGGAAATTTTGAATGACGTTCCCTTCCAAAATCATGCTCCTTTAGATCATTTTATTTTCCCATTAATCTTACATTAAAAGAAAACTTTATAACATCTCTATGACTCATCTATTTCTCAAGCTTCCACATAAGTCTTCTTGTTTTGTTGAGATTCATTGTGAAACTTTCCTCTTTTTTCCACTTTTTACCTAATAACTGCATACGTCTCTATCATATCTCCTCTATCCTCTTTTCTAGCGACGTTAGGTCTAGTTATTTTAGTCTTTCTTCATCCCCTATCTCTCTTGTATTACCTAAACAAATCATTGCAGACCTCTGTAAGTTTTCAAGTTTCCTTATGCGTTTTTATAAATGGTCTTACATAGGCGGTGGTCATTGGTCTGAATGTTCCTTATTTAAATTTTTAAATTCCTGAATGGTATTTCGATTTCTGCCAGTGTAGTGTGTGCTACTGCTTCTATCCAATACCCACCACAACTGACCCACTACCTATCATCCCCACCACAACTAACCCACTACCTATCATCCCCACCACAACTAACCCACTACCTATCATCCCCACCACAACTAACCCACTACCTATCATCCCCACCACAACTAACCCACTACCTATCATCCCCACCACAACTAACCCACTACCTATCATCCCCACCACAACTAACCCACTACCCATCATAAGTGATCACACAATAATATATTTCTCGTCAATATTTTGGTCAACATATTTTACCCACGTTATTGTGACTCCTCGTCTGCATATTTCTCCATTTACTTGTCCCCGTGGAATCATTAGGCGCTCGCACTTGTGACCGGTTCAATAAATCCCTGAACTATCACCTTGTCCATGGAGGACAGAAGAAAAAATATATATGCTGGTTAGCATTGTAAATGTATTGCCACGTCTGTGGTAGAAAATAATAATAATAAAAAAAACCGTGACCGACTCGTACATTTAGCTCCCCATCCAGAAACCGGGTTACCCGGTAAGAGTAACTTTACACCGCTCCCTGGTATAGAGTATTCTAATCAGGATAAACAAAGCTCTGTTGTCTCAGGTCGAGATGCATCCTACCGCAAGAGTAACTGTAAACAAAGTCCTGTTTGTCAGAACGAAATGAACAGTGCCCACTGGTCAACAGTTAAACAAACACGTATGGGAGAACTGTATCTTTAACTTATTTATTTATTTATTTACAAGAAGGTACATTGGGTTTGTGAGAATACATAGCATAGTATTTACAATCTTGTAAAGCCACTAGTACGCGCAGCGTACTAGTGGCTTTATTAATGGCATCTTTCTCCATGTATGTTATTCTCATATATAGTTTGTTGTATCTATTTGTGAGTGAATCACTCACAAATAGATATTTTTTTGTAATGGCATTTTTTTTGTACGGAAGAAAAAAAATTCTTCATTTACACATGCAGTATTGTACCAGACATACACACGAATACTTTTATGATTAGGTACACAAGACACATTTTGCAATAGACATTCAGACAATTCGTTACAATCTTGGTGCAACATTCTTATCTCTCTCCAGAAGATCATCAATCTTTCCGTTGCGACACATCCAGGCTATTTGTTCAGGAACAGTCCTAATCTCAGTGTTTCTATAAAGATAATTAACGGACAATCAACAACGTAATGTGAGAGACCTTAACATACCACATAGTTTACAGTGTTGCATTATCATTAACACCTATTCCAACGGTACTTTGTAATGTGTTCGTTGGGACGCAAACCATACATAATGAGGCGTATGAGGCGAGAAGGTTGCTATGAACAACTCAGCGGGTTTTCTTCCTATTGGGGAGTGTTGTACATGCTACTATGGCGGTGTGTCTATTCACAGGATGAGTGGTGCTGCCCAATAAACTTGCCCCTCGGGGCAAAATTTAAATCAAGCGCCTCACACCTACGTCTCCTTGCCGGCCCAGGCTGAGACAGAGACAGAGACAGAGACAGAGAGAGAGAGAGAGAGAGAGAGAGAGAGAGAGAGAGAGAGAGAGAGAGAGAGAGAGAGAGAGAGAGAGAGAGAGAGAGAGAGAGAGAGAGAGAGTGAGTGTTAAAACAAAAAAATTGATTGACAGTTGAGAGGCAGGGCGAAAGAACCAGAGCTCAACCCCCGCAAGCACAACTAGGTGAATACACACACGCGCGCGCTTATTTATATGTACACTCACAAATAAAATGTATATGGTTAATTTAACAAAGGTATTGAAAAAAATGAAATTTTATTGAAAAAAGGTACAGCGCGCTCGAGGCTATAATTAGCGACCATATAACGAGTAATATTAACAAAATTTAACCATCGATATCACAAAAGTTGCTTAACTGTGTATGTGCTGGTGGCAGTAACTGGCCACTGAACTGTCCAATCTTAGCCGAGTGGCCACTCACAACAGTTATATCCCAGCAAACACACGACGGAAGTTTTACTATCACAACTGCTTCGTTACACGAGGTTGTGACAACGCCTCAAACGTTGTAGTTACATCGGGAGGTTGTTGGGGTCGTATCTTAGGCGCATCTAACTACTTCCGTCTACTTTTGACCTTTTCCCGTCCACAAGGAATACTTCATTAGCTTTGAAATTCAATTCAGTACCACATTCCATGCTAGTTATTCAGTGCACTGCCCAATTACTGTCGCTAGATAATAAGCCTTGCTTGTACTGTAATCGATTACACAACCATGAAGTAATCAGATCATTTTAACGTACATTGTTATTAGCAGGAAGCCTGAGGTAACCCCCCCCCCCCGCTCAGTCCTGCTGGGGATCGAACCCCGTACGCGTGAACAGGAACCATACAGGCTACCATACACTTTAATGTAAAGTGTAATTACCAAACACATTAATGATCTGCCCGAAACGTTATGCGTGTTAGTGGCTTTACAAGCATGCCAAAACATGAATGCTATGTACTCTCATAAACTCAATGTACCTTCTTGTATATATATAAATCAATTAATAATAAATAGTCAACGATGTCACTGAAATGAAATATTTCTCACTCACTCTTATACTTGTAGCAAAATATAAGCTATTTCATATAAGCTATTTCATCGGCATCAGTGTGTGTGGGACTTCACCATAATCATAATTAAAATAATAATTGTATTCATAAAATATACAAAAGAATACATTACGGTGTTTTAACTGTTAAATACAGAGGTTGCACATTAAATAAACCCATTAATACGCAAAGCGGATTGTGAGCAGAGCAGGGTGATACACATTTCACATTATATACAGCTCAACAATCTTCCACCTAGTGATTGTGTATTACAATTGTTGGTATTTTGTTCAATGTTTTTTCTACTGGCCAAGTATTATTGAATGAGTAATATTGTTTATGCTTCTCTATCATCCCGTAACTTTCATGTTATTTGGACAATGTATTTTATTATATTCATCTGTTGTATATGTAAATGAATTTCCTTGCACTAGGCAACGATATTGCAGCCGCTGATGAGTTACTCGTTAAGTCAGGTGTTGAGCTGAAGGTCTGTCAACCGTGGGAGGATCTATACCTTACTAACCAGCAAGTATACTTTAGTCCTCTGTATATACTTTAGCCCTGTATATATATACTTCAGTCCTGTCTACATATACACTAAAAGGTGGGATGCCATATATATATATATATATATATATATATATATATATATATATATATATATATATATATATATATATATATATATATATATATATATATCTGTGCGTTTTGTTACTAATTTTTTATCTGTTTCAGAGATATCTTGGAATCTACAGGAGTCTGCCCCTACACGGGAGGCCATGTAGGAACAGAAGCCAACGTAAACAAATAAGCATTACGGCAGTTGGAGGTGTTGTGGTGGGCGGCGTAATGGCATAGGCGCGCACTCCCACACCCATTAGTGAGGAAAAACTAACTAATGTTGTGATTGTGGCCGCCAACACAGGCTCATGCAAAACTTTTTGGCGACTGCTTTAAACCGTCTGACAGTTGTTGGATACTCGTCATCGAACTCCTTTGAAGAGAATTTCAAAGGAGCATCAAACGGTATCAACGTGATGAATACAAATTAAATCAACCTGGAACACGCGTGATGGCGAGGAGACGAATTTATAAAAACATTCAAACAAAAGTCTTTTGAAGCCGCCACAGGAAGGAAAAACAAAATAGCCTATTGTGCATAAAACTGAGCCTCGCGCACCATGACGACCAGCGGGAGAGATCAGGCAGCCGTTGGTTACATTCTGGACATGAGTCAACCACACCACCACCACCACACCGCCTCCAGGTATTCCTTCTGGCTCCCAAACTCCACCCTACAATCTCTGTTGACATCAGAGGAAGCCTACAGTCCCCTCAGCTCCGTGTCGTCGCTGGCTGCTCACCACGACGACGACCTACTCTTCCTTCTACAGGGAAACGACACCAACGCCACCAGCACAGGCTACGTGCCCTACTTCCAGCGCCCGGAGACCTACATCGTGCCTATCCTCTTCGCTGCCATCTTTATTGTCGGCGTTATAGGTAAGTTCTAGGATAGCAAGCAAGAGCGACTGTACAGTTTATCGTTATGGCGCAAAACCAGTTTGAATTAATTTTTAATCAACTGACCTCCCATTTAGGAGTCATAGTTCTCATTTGGGATTTGTGGGTTCCCATTTTAGATCAATAGTTCTAGCACGAGTCTTCTCTGTATTTCTCAGTTTCTTTACTTGAGACAGAAATTCAAAGCTTAACTCTCCAAAAGTAAATTTTTCACTTTTAATGGACCTGTCGCATTTTGCTTAGCATATTCAGCGGCAGATACAAAGTTTATACAAAAGAACCAAAACAGCAATATATATTCTTATTATTCCATGCGGGTGTAGGAATTACCTTCTCAGTGATACTTGCGTTGTAAAAAAAAATATCACGTAAGAATGTGACATATCTGCGGCCTGCGGGCCGCTCCAAGCAACAGCCTGGTGGACCAAACTCTCACAAGTCAAGTCTGGCCTCAGGTCGGGCTTGGGGAGTAGAGCAACTCCCAGAACCCCATCAACCAGGTATATATCATGTACAACAAACTTCAAACAAAAAAAATAAATCTTGAATTGTTCAACACAAATATTATACACAAGGAAATCACAACAGCGCAATGTATCGAGTCTAGTACACTCCCCCCAGTAACACTCCACACACACAGTGGTGCGTGTGTCTAGTACACTTCCCCCAGTAACACACTCCACACACACAGTGGTGGGTGTGTCTGGTACACTTCCCCCAGTAACACACTCCACACACAGTGGTGGGTGTGTCTGGTACACTTCCCCCAGTAACACTCCACACACACAGTGGTGTGTGTGTCTGGTACACTCAGGCCTTACAGACGCAACTTTACAAGTGCAACTCTGGACTTTGCGAGCATCCACAAGCACGTGAAGATTAGCGTCCGTATTTACAAAGTTAATTTTGCTTCACATATACTGGAGGACTGAAGCCGAGCCGGGAGTGTCCCCATACACAAGCTCCAGCGCCAGCCACGGACACTTACCAAGTAGCCTCTTCCTCTTCCCCCTCTTCCCCCTCCTCCTCCTCCTCCTCTTCCCCCTCCTCCTCCTCCTCTTCCCCTCTCCTCCTCCTCCTCTTTCCCCTCCTCCTCCTCTTCCCCCTCCTCCTCCTCCTCTTCCCTCTCCTCCTCCCCTTCCTCTTCCCTCCTCCCCCTGCGCCTGCTGGTGCTGATACTGTCTTGGTTGACATATGAAGGACCATTTTGGAGAATAAAGGACGACGAGCTGAAGGCAGCAATAGTGCCGAAGAGTTGAAGTTAGCAGTAGTAGTGATATTGCACGTGGTAATTAATACAAGAGGAAACAATAGTAATAATATTATTAACAGTAGTAGTAATATAGTAGTGGTGGTGGCAATATTATATAATATTGAGGAGTCCCTCAGATGACTTCCTTGCCCGTGCTGGGGACTCTGTCAGAGCCAATCCTCCCCCCCATCCCCCCAGTGTCACCCATAGACCACAGGGACTCTAGCAGCTGCCCCCGAGGACCACCAGGACCAATCACCGTCACCAGAGGGAGGTGGAGTGAGAAGTGTGATGGGGCGTGTATGCCCGTGAACACCTCACAGCGGGTTATATCTATTTAGTACTCCACTGACGGGGCCACACACACACACACTACCTCACCCAGCAACCTGTCCTTCTAATGCCCTCCTTCGCATTTTGACGTCATCAAGACCAATCACTAAATCCGTTTCCATTTCTGAGGTAAGGGTTTCATTGTTGCAAGGCAGCAACAAGAAAGTATCCAAAACGGACAACAAAAATATTCGAAATCTCACCCCCTCCCCAAAAAAAAAATCGCTCAAATCCCAAAACAAAAAACTTCACGACGCCTAAACTTGTTTAAAAAAAATGAAGTTTAGGCGTCGAAGAAAGAAGAAAAAAGTCTATGCTTGGGACGTAGACGCTTCGTGAAGCGTCTATGCCCCAAGCAACAGCCTCTTGGCCCAAGCTCTCAGAAGTCACGCCTGGCCCTAGACCGGGCTCGGGGAGTAGAAGTCCCAGAACCGTCTCCAGGTAACGGGACACCAGATGTGACCAAATATAGCTTAACGCTCATGTGTTCCCTCCCCACAGGTAACGGGACGCTCATCGTCATCTTCGCCAGGAACGAGAACCTTCGCAACGTGCCCAACACCTACATCATCTCCCTGGCGTTGGGGGATCTCCTCGTCCTCTTCTTCACCGTTCCCTTCGTCTCCACCATTTACACCATAGAGTCCTGGCCCTACGGGAACTTCGAGTGCAAATTTAGCGAGCTAGTGCGGGACATATCAGTTGGTGTGACGGTCTTCACCCTGACGGCGCTTTCTGCTGACCGCTACCTCGCTATCGTCTCCACTATCAGAAGGGTAATCACTGGTCAGGTGGTCTCTCGCATTCCTTAATGTGTCACAAAATATTTATCAAAAAATATATATATCCAATTTGCAAGATCTTGTTGCAGACCGGACTGTATGAACCAGCTCAAGTTAAATTCACTATTGTAGGTGTGATTGCCAATCAATCACAAAAGGTTTCGCGAATGATTGCGGGGTCAGTAATTCTACTTTGAGGGAGACCTCGATATAAGCCTAACATGCAAGAATAATCACAATAAACACGTGATTCGGTTATGCGTAGGTATTCACTAGGAAAATAAAACGAAAATTCCGAACGTTTTCGTGTTTCAACACATTAATCAAGGAAATACTGGACAATGTGTTGATCTTTCATCTTACTCTCACCTTTTCTCTTACCTGCTCCTCACCTCTCACCCTCTTTCCTTATTTATTTTCCTGCACCTTCCTCTCTTCTATCATAAGACTTGGACGACCTCTCTTCTATTATGACGACTTTCGGTCCAGGACGGATCGAAACATCGTCGTTTCTCCATTTATTAGTGTGTGGTTTGGTCATCATTGACTATATATTGCAGTAATTTCACCCTCAGTTTTTTTATTTGGAAGTTATTATTGTGTAGTTCTTCTTCTGGAGATCCATTTACTTCGATTTCACTTATATATCTTAACCCAACCCGTCTTCTAAACTAACGCGTTTCATTTTGGACGCCATTGTCCCAACGTACAAAATAAAGGGGGAACTATGACAAGTAACGGTTCACATATATCAACAGCTTCTATGCGTAGGTGGGTGGGTTGCTTGGGTTCGTGTGTTTTAGTACCCTTTATTATGTATGTTATGGCATATCAAGAGAATGGGCTACTTAATTACAATTATTTTAATTCAGTGTGGACTAATGCCTGTTCCTTGGTCCTCCCTCAGGCTGTGGGCGGGGCGGGCCGCAGGACGCTGCGGACAGCGGTGGGAATATGGGTGGCAGCAGGAATGTTGGCCACTCCAGCAGCACTGTTCTCCCAGGTACAGGCCTTCCATGTGACGGACGAGAAGGTCATCAACGTCTGTTACCCGTTCCCAGAGGACTTGCCCGAGTGGTACTCCCGAGCCAATGTCATCGTGAAGGCGCTCTTGTACTATCTCCTCCCGCTCGTCGTCATCGCCACCTTCTACTTGCTGATGGCTAGACACCTGTTATCCTCGGATGACGTGCCCGGGGAGTCTCATGTCTTCCATCGTCAACTGAGGACTAGAAGAAAAGTGGCTAAAATTGTTCTGTGTTTTGTGCTCATCTTCGCCGTGTGCTTCCTACCCACACACGTCTTCCTGCTGTGGTTCTACTTAGACCCGCAAGCTTCCATCAAGTATAACCAGTTCTGGCATGCCCTTCGCATCGTTGGCTTCTGTCTCGGGTTCATTAACTCGTGTATCAACCCCATCGCCCTATACTGCATCTCCGGTACCTTCAGGAAGTACTATAACCGTTACCTCTTCCGATGCTGCCGCTGGGTCGACCGCGGGCATCGAACTCACTCCTTCCTGCAGCCGCGACGCTCCGGAATGTCACAGTGCCGTTCCTTCACCCTGCGGGGCACTGAGACTATCACCCTCACCACGCTCATTCACGACAGGGCCTCACCTGCCACCTCCTGACACACGCCAACACAATCTTGCTCTCCAGCGTCTGCCCGCCCATGTTCTCCCACGCCCACGCTAACCTATTCTCCCGTAACTACACGCCCATTCCTGGCGAGAGATCAAATCTACAGAACCAATAACCACGAGTCTCCACTGTGTAGCCGAGAAATGGTGATGGCCGTCGACCTAGACGTCGAGAGTAACACTTGTATTTATGAAGAAGTCGAGTTGTGAGACCTCCCTACGCAGCCCCTTCTGTAGTGTCGCCCCCTCGACATGAGTTTGTGGCGGCTCCTGAGGGAAATGTGAACTTCTTGAGCAATCTGAAGGTCCTCATGAACAGAATCATAATCTTGATGATTTCATGAATGGTAATGAGGAAGCCTCACGAAATTGTGGAGGACTTTGCGAGTAGTGTAAGGAACCTCATAAGTCGTATGCAAGCCGTTCGTGAGTACTGTGAAGGACCTCGCGGCAAGCGTGAAGGGACCCTCATGAGTGGCGTCGGGACCTCATGAACGATTGTGGTAACTTGTCTCACAGATCAGTCATATCACATAAAATATATTGCACTTGGGCAGGACGGTAGAGCGACGGTCTCACTTCGTGCAGGTCCCCGTTCATTCCCCGACCGTCCAAATACTTGAACACCATTCTTAACCCCCCCCCTCGTCCCATCCCAAATCCTTATCCTGACTCCTCCTTCCAAGTGCTATATAGTCGTAATGGCTTGGCGCTTCCCCCCCCCCTGATAGTTCTCTTCCCTTCACTCAATGCCTAGTTACGTGCCCTCAGTAGCTTTCCGTGTATGCACTCTCTTTACTCAAAAGATGATAAGCACAATACGCCTCTCATAATCCAATAAAATAGTTCCCCCCTCCAGAGCCATCTAGTGAAAGACACAACCATCTTCTCTAACACCATCTTTGTCCAGTCAGTCAGTCAAGCGCAATCTAGGTTTCGTTCGTCCTAAGTTGGAAATTATGTTGATTTTGTTACATATGAACACGTCATCAAACCGTTTTTTTTACAATGTTAATATAGTTGTACCAACGTAAACAAAACGGTGCGTGTTTGCTACGTTCGCTGAAACTGTTAAATTGTTACGTGATGTCAGCGTCACGCGGGGACACGGACATCCGGATGTCAGCGTCACGCGGGGACACGGACATCCGGATGTCAGCGTCACGCGGGGACACGGACATCCGGATGTCAGCGTCACGCGGGGACACGGACATCCGGATGCCAGCGTTACGCGGCAACCCGTTCTCGCAAATTCGTATAGTCAATATTAACTTATTAAATAAGTGCATAGGTGACATACTAAACATAATAGATACCCTTAAAAAGCTTCATAGAAAACACCGACCTTACCTAACCTTGTTAGTATGTTAAGATAAGCATCTTATAGCTTCGTAATTACAATTGTTACTTAACCTATTATAGGTATAGGTTAAGTAATAATTGTAATTACGAAGCAATAAGATGCTTATCTTAAAATACTAACAAGGTTAGGTAAGGTCGGTGTTTTCTATGAAGCTTTTTAAGGGTATCTATTATGTTTAGTATATCACCTATGCACGTAGTTAGTAAGTCAATATTGACTATACGAATTTGCGAGAACGGGTTGTACGCGGGGACACGGACATCCGGATGTCAGCGTCACTCACGAAACACGGACATCCGGATGTCAGCGTCACTCACGAAACACGGACATCAAAACACCTGATACATCATCTATATTTCCACTTACGTCAGTGACTTGTTCTAATCATAATCAGGTAAAAATAAACTTGATAGCTGAAGACTACCAAATATACCCGCAAGACGCAACAAATAACCCAACCTGTACATAGGAAGAAAATGAAAGTTACGTTACGTTACCTCGCGTTACGGTACATTACGGTACGGTACGACTGGACTCGTATCATGACTCAACTGAGACATGCAAGTTGTTGAAGATTACGCCACCACAAGAGGTGGCACGGGCATGAATAGCCCCGTAGGTGGTATAGAAGATGTTTGGAGTGAATGTGATCTTTGATCTTCAAGTGTCTCTGGTGAGACATACAGATTAAGATTATGCCACCTGCCGCTCCTGTGCCAGGGAAGTCCACTACGGGCTCGCCATTGCCCGTGCTACTTGGAACTTTTTGTTCCGAGTAGCTGAATCTAAAACAACAATGGGTAAACCGCGAAGTGGCAGGATATGAGGTGAGGTGGCAGGATAAGAGGACCATTCATAGATCTCATTCTTTGCCAGAGTTTTTAAACGTCTTTTCACATAATTTTTTGGTTGTGTGTGGCCAATTTTCTCCTCTCCCACATTCCATAACGTAGCATTTAGATGACTACATCTAGGTGAGAACATCTAAGTGACTATATCTAGGTGAAAACATCTATAGGTGAGTATATATATATAGGTGACGGAAGAACACCTAAGAAGTGCCATAATGCCAAGTCAAGTCTGAGAGACACATGTCAACATAACCGCATTAACGCCATACGGCAAAACAGCTTAGATGGAAACTTGAGACAAATGAGCCACAGGAATGTAAGACAACGTTTCACCAGCTTAAACAATAGTGAAAGCATTGCGAGAGCTAGAGGGCTATGAGGTACTTATGGCTAATTGCATCCATAGATTTAACAAGTTATGACAACTGACGCTTTTAACAGTGAAGCCCAAAGAGGTAATGCTTGATCCCGCAGGCACTATTAGGTGATTATATGCGAGTCGGCCACTTACTTTGGTCCTTTCAGGCTGATTCAGAACAGCTGGTATTGGAGATCAGCCCCAGCAAGCACAAGATAATGAAGGGAGCTGGAGACAGTGGCTGACGTCCGTCGGGTCGCCAGAGTTGGTCACAGTGCTACACGACCCGTCCTCCGGTAATGCTCGTACACATTCATCACTTTTAACGTACTGTGCATTCAATGATTCGCAATAAGAATTTTTCTAAAATATAAATTAGTATTATTATATAATGGAATATTGTTCTTATTTAGGAGTAGGTTAGGTGAGGTGTTTAGGTCCTGTTGGCAATATTATTTGTACTTGTAGCTGCCCGAAACGCTTTGCGTAATAGTGGCTTTAGGCATTGTATGTACTAGCTCTATCTATAAATCCATCAACTTTTGTATTTCACCTTGTATGTATGTACTTTACCTGAATAAATATTTGTATTTGTATTTGAAACACTGAAACATTTACAGCGTTCCAACTCGAAAGGAAGTCGTCAGCGAAGCACTTTTCGAGAAATGTTTGAATGCCATTAGTTGCGAATCCCAGCCCGTTTTCATTAACAAGCAGCCCGTTCTCATAAACAAAGTCCATTCCATGCATCCGCCAAACCCCCTGTTCATGAATAAAAAGTTTATACAAGACTTGGAACTGATGACATTCGAACACTTTCGGAACAATTGCTTTGCCGACGACTTTTGTTTGAACTATAACGCTGTAACTGCTTCACCTACGTACTGCAAATACAAATAATTGGCAACAGAACCTAAACACCTAACCTAACCAATGCCTAATGTGACGATAATCTCCTTCAAGAGATTGAGCCTGCTCTTCCCTCCAAAATTACGTCTTCACAACTATATAAAAGACTATGGAAGAAATGTCCAACAACGACAACAAACACCAGCAAGGCTTGCCAGGGTGAGCAGAAACGTATGCAACCAGCCACCTGTTCGAACTCCAACCACCAAACTACCCGTTGATCGCTACGACTCCGCTGATTGGTCGCCGGTCTGGCTGCACCTGCCTCGCCCCCCCCCATACTACCCGATGTCTGGGGTCGCCCCAACATCAGTCTTCAGAATGTTCCGTGCTTTCGTAGCCAGCACTCCTCCCAGCTAGACGTTAGCGTGTACTGAGAGAGGTGGTGGCTTTAAGCCAATATTCCAGCACCTCCCACTTAACCTTTGTGTTGCACTTCTTGTTATTTTGCCTTAACGTAACTTTTCATTGTGTCATTTAAGTATTCTTATTATTTTGATTCATTGATTTTATTATACATATTTGTTTGTCCATATTTCATGTTTTGATTTATTTAACGTAATTAAAATTTCATTGTTAAAGTTTACTTGTGTTTTGTGTGTCTTCTCCTTACCTTACCACAGACGAAGTTCCAGTTTTTCTATTTTTTTTTATAACTATGTGACGAGGCCATACCCCTAGCCTTAAACAGCCGAACACCAACGCGTTACCGTCACACTAAATATGCACAGTATGCTAATATATAACAATATTAATTTAGATTTGAAAAAAATCATATTTTGAATAAACAGCATGTTAAAATTGGCAATGCGTCTTTGGTGTCGACTGCTGGATGGAATGGACTTGGTCTGAGGACGTGTTGCAATAAAGGCCAAATTCTCGCTAGTCCTGCTGCCAAACCCATGTTTATGAATTAAAAACGGTTAACACACGACTCACAACTTATGACATTTGAACTTTTCTCGAACACAGCTTCGCTGACGACCCCAGTTCGAATCGCAACTCCATTAAATGCTTCACTCACATACTTAAAAATACAAATTATCGCCAACAGAACATAAACACCTGGCCAAATTTAACCTACGCCTAATTATACATAGAACTTCAATGAATAATATTAATTTATATATAAGAAACCTATTTTTAATACACTACGTTAAAATTGATGGTCTTGGGGGCGGCTGCCACTTCGAGGACAGGTCGAGATTCAAAGACCTATGTTCAATCATTATTACTTGTGGTTGTGTATTTACATCTGTGGCTCCCACTTAGTAACTCTACATGCCGAGTTGCGTTCCTCTGTCCCGTTGTTGTTTGTGTTCAATGTTCTAGATGACATTTAGTTAACTTGTTGAAACAAGCTGCCACCATGGCAACATTGCCATCTGTGTTCCAAGATTATCACATCGATTGTGCCAGCTTTTTTGTCCTGCCATAATTTTACGAAAATATATATTTTAATTCTTGCTCATTGTATGTGATTCTAGATAAATAAATTCTGAAATAATTATCAGATGTGCGAGTCTTATTCCTTAAGTTAATGACTCATCAAATAATGTAAAGCAAGCAATTATAAAAAGACGGCACCAAGCCGGGAATACTATGTAGCACAAGATAATGTATGGTTGAATTTGAGCTGTTGGGTTATCTCTATCTGAATGCGTGCTAGCGTGTATCAATCATTTAAACTTTAGTATCTCGGTCGCGTCAAGCGATGCATGGATTTATCTATTATTCAACCTACAAATTTGTTTCCATTGTATTTTTTTAAATCAGTAGGAACCATGAGGAAGATTCAAACCTACGTTCTGGGTACTTCCAAGCAAGCGTCTTAGACCACTACACTACGACGTGGTCAAAAGCAATACAACTTGGGATTCGACTGAACCCTCTAGAGGTCCTGAGACTTCCAACTAAAGCCTAAGGTTTTTGTTGGAGCTATGGGGCCTACCTTTCACCACAGTCGTACTCAAGAGGTCTGATCTCCCACCACACATGTCTGCCGAGAGAAGTGTTCAGGAGGCAGCATAGAAGCTGAATTGGATTTTACTGCCATCCACTATGGAGCCCAACAATATAAGGCACAAGCACATGGGTTACCATTGAAGGGTCTAAATAGCATTCCAGAGATACTGCTGTATCTCTTGATAGGGAT